TCATATTTGAAGAACATGCAAGTGAGTTGGCCCTAAAAGAATGAATAAACATTCTTCAAAGAATAAGATGTTATCTTCATTTTTGAATTTCAAAGACTCTTCAAGAAGGTTGTTGGCAAGACATTTGATATTAAGAATAAGACGGTCTATGTTTGAAGCTTTATGAACTTGATCAACAAATGATAAATCCACATGCATTGATACATTGATTGTTTAAAGTTGAAATTGCTCAAGTTTTAACAAGGTTGTCTATTGTTGATCATATGCTGCCTCGTCTTCTTTTTGTTCAAGGTAGGAACATCTTAATAATGCATCTGATAACCCTTGTTGGTTCTTAGGTTGATACGTGATGTAAAAGTCAAATTATCATAAAGTTATACTCCAACGTGATTAGCGACAATTTAAGACTCAGACTGACATGAAATATTCAAGATTCTTGTGATATATAAATATAGTCACTTGATGAGAAGTACCTTTAAGAAAGTGGCACCATTTTTGGAAAGAATCTATAATAGCAAGTAGTACTTAATTTTTTTCGCTGAAAATTTTCTAGAATAGAATGCAATTGGATGAAGTTTGTCATCTTCTCCATATTGCAATAAGATTGCTTTCAATGCAAATTTTGAGGCATTGAACTCCATAAAATAGGGCTTGTTGAAATCTAGATGTATCAAAATTGGAGCTATTCTAAAGAATCTTTTAAGCTTTAAAAAACTTTCTCTGCTTTGGGGCGCCAATCCAGCTTGTCCTTGCATATTAACTACATAAGTAGAGTAGCAATCTTAGAATAATTCCTGACAAAAATCCTATAGAAGTTTACAAATTGAAGAAAGCATTGGACATCACATGTAGTTTTTGGCTTTGTCCAATCGATGATTGCTTGTACCTTCTTTGGATCCATAAAAAGGCCTTTGTTAGAAATAATATATCCAATAAATTCGACTTGAGGTCCATAAAATACATAGCTAGATTTATTACACGTCTAACAATATATAGTCTTTTCAAGTTGAATCTTTTTCAAGCTACTTGTAGTAGTAGTAGCCTTCTTAGACTTTGAAATATTTATCATCGAAGCAACCATATTAATGGCATCATGATGATAAAGAGCCTTGTCATACTTCTCAATCTTTGCAAATGTTTGTATTAGTATTGCCTTGCCATCATAATTGAGAATGATTCTAAATATAGCCTATTTCAAAAGTTATTTGTTAATCTTAGACAAAGAGATCTTAGCAAATTAACTCTCAATAAAAATGCCTTCTAATTCTATTGTAAATTGAGCTAAATAAGTATACGTAGTACATGGTATGTCTTTTTGTTTTTTTTTTACATCAAAAGTCTTAAATGCACTACATTTTATCATGCCTAAAGCCTCCACACTTACTTTTCAAATATTTAATAAACATTTGAAGTTGATTAAAACATGGTGGCTCTATTATTGCAAACAAGGCTTCTTTCATAAATTAAATCATTTGTCATAAGATAGGTAAGGTGATACTATTTGAAGACCCTTTCAATACTATAACCTTTCTATTAGTATCTTTAAAGGATATTCTACTTTTTTCTTTTAATAGATCTCTTTTCTTCATAATATGAATTAAAGTAGAAATAGCAACATCTTTAAGGATAGAAATGAGCTCTTTTTTAGCCTCTTAATAGCTTTCTATCTCTTACAATTGAAGTAAGTGCTCTTTAGTCCATCTTTCATATGTTTTGAAAGCCTCATATTCCAAATATTGTAGCAATAGCTAAAATGCATACCACTCATTAAAAGTAGAAGAGTGTTGGTATTTTTCTTTCATCAAAGTTTCCAATTTGAACTTCTAATCTTGCAAGAAAATACCTCTAGCTTATCCAAAAAAATAATCTTTTACCATATTACAAGGATTGTCTTCTATCTTATCAAATATACCCATATTCTAAACCAAAGGCTTCTTAATAAAATCTAATGTTGATACATGCTAAAAAAACCTTATTGGTACCCTCCATTGACTTCAAGTCCTTGACATAGTCACTTTCTAAGTATTTTGGTGAAAAAAACCAATAATATCAACTTTTAATTTTTACTATAAAAAAGACTATTTATATACTTATAACTATCTAATTGCTTAATAGGAACTTATACCTACAATCAACACTAATCTATGCAATTTATTAACAATGACTTCTAAGACATTAGAAAGCCAACAAATATCCCTACTTGATGCGAATAGAACGATCTTGTCTACCAATAACTTGAATTCATCTCTATTGTATGTATATAAATGTACACTATTACAACACAAAATGAGGCAACATCAAAAACTTTTGGTAGTAATATTTACAACTACGAGAAGGTACTAAAAAAAAGAAATCAAAAAAAAAATCAAAATTCCAAATTAAATCTTTTTTTCAACAACATATAACCAAAATTCATAAATCAACCAAAGCAACTGATACTAACTTACAAATAATGGTTATTAATCACAGAAGTTTTGATAATAAAAGAAGATTATACCAAAATATGAAATATTAAAAAAAAAATGATAAAAACTTATTTAAAAAAAAGATAATATTGATTCAAGTTTAATTAAGTGAATTAAATCACCTCTATTTCATAAATCAATAATACCATTGGCCTCATAAGCAACTTCTATATAATACTAACTCAAAAGTTGTCAAAAGTTATCAAGTTAAGACTTTACATACTCTCAAAGAGAACTTTTAAATATTAATAGTCAAGAGTTTTTCTCTAGTATTGCACGACTTCTAGCAATAAGGTCAAAAATCTAACATTATTGTTGTATTATAATATGGTTGTAGGATAAAAGAATAAATATATTATTATATTATTATAATATATTATTAGAAACATGAATAATAATAATAATGGAGGTAGTAAAACTAATAAGTATTAATATTGGCTTTTATAAAGAAAATCTTTATATACTTTGTAAGACCATAGATAAGACAAAAAAGATACATTTTTAAAAATAATATTATAAGCATCTTTATGTAGAAGTAAAAAGTAAAAATCATCAAAAATTACTTTAATAAATCTTAGATTAATATCTATAGAGGGTCTATTATGAACTAGGATTAAAATCAAATTCTAAAGCACAAAATTGCTCCCTTATGGTTAATATGATTTTTTTTGTTGATTAGAATATGAGTTTTTAAAGCAAACTTATTAAGGTTTTTATAAATATTAATTTTGAGTGATTTTAATTCATATTAATTTTGTGAGAGTTATACAAAGTTGAAGTTTTTTTGAGTGACTTTTTTTTATATTCAATATAAAGAAGATTGCATTGTGATGAATTATATAAGTTTTCTAGCAAATCCACAAATAAAATTTTGTAGGTTTGTGAATGTTGCTATATTAAATTTTGATTATGAATTTCAACTCAATTAGACCATTAGATCAAAAGAAATTAATGTTCAAGTAAGTTGATATCTTAAAAATTAATTTTTGAAGATCATTGAGAGTTTCCTAGATTTTGAGCAATTTTCAAGTTAGGTTAGAAATTTTTTTAGTGTAATAATGGTTGGCTAAGGTTTCTACATTCATGAAAAATTAATTTAGTTAACATAAACCTAAACCTAAAAAAAAAATTGGATGCTAGAATATCTAGAATATAAAGCTCTAATGATTTATTTGACTGAAATAGCTTACATGGCCTACTTTGAATCAATGATATGAAGTCTATCTTGTCACATAATTTGGCATGAGATGCCAAATCACATTAAATGGATATATTCTATTTTAGTTAGTGGATTTTTATCCATTTAGTGTTTTATAGTAGTTGATCTTATTAATACCAAGTAAGGTTTGAAGATTTAGGTAGAAAAGCCATTTTGATTTGATATTCTTATTTGATATTAAATTACACTATTTGTCTTTAAGAATAGATATGATGTCTTTTACATCACAAATAGGTTTAAATTAATTAATAAGAATCGAGAATTATAGAATTTTAAATCTTCTAAATATAACATAATTTTTAAATTTAGCTTCATTTGATTAGATAACTTTTTTATTTCAACCTTAAACTTCTTAAGAAAGAAATGCTTATGTAACACATTTGGCACAAAAGAACTACAATAAAAATATAAAGAATCTACACTAAATTGACATAAATACTTATTTTATTCTTTTTATAATTTATAAATAAGAAATATTTTTTAAAAAAATAAAAATTTTATACAAATAAAAAGAATCTATGATTGAGTCACATCTCTCTTTTATAATTAGCTTTTAGATAAAAGCATTAAAAATATTAAAACATTTCTATAAAAACTATGAATTTTTGCATATAATCTTCTATCCAAAGTATTAAATGCTTTGATTAAATACCCATTTTTCCTAAATTGGGAATAGCAAACAGCCATCAAACACTAAACACTAGGTAGAATCCTCTATCTAAATTTAATCTGATTGTAAATGAGTATCTATTGAACAATATTCATTTGTTGGTTAAACTTGGAAGATTAATTTTAAAATTGGATTAAGAATAGTCATGAGATGTTAAAAGACTAATTATAAGGTCCAACTACACAATACTTCTATTTTTTTATAGAATATTAGGTCACCTTGTAGAACTTCTAAGCTTCACTTAATATTTATGCTAGTTCTAATTTCTAGGAATGTTTAGTCATTTATGATTGTCCCATCTTCTAAAATATGTACAATAGTCTTCAATTTAGGCATTGCAGTTGGACATCATAGCTATGAATCATGGGTACCATAAAAATAAACTTGTTGTGAGTTGTGTAAAAAGCTCGAGTAGGCCAGTTTGTTTCGTAGGCTCATTTGCAAACCATGTTCCAATCAACACATGCCAGGATTCAAGATGCAGAACTTCAATCTCATCACTGTTTCAGACATTTCAGAATATCGTGCGAAAGCTTGAAGTGAAGAAAGGGAATATTAGCCAGCATATCTTGGAGACTTGAACAAGAATGTAAAAACCTGAAACCTCGACTGTAAAACCTTGCAATCACCGTTCGTACTCCAGGTATGAAAGCTGCAACCTTACTCATTATTGAATGTGGAACACTTGCTGCGACAAGTTTAAGAAGAAATGACTTTGACAACTGCCCGAGTATGGCCACTATAAAATGTAGAACACACGATACGTAGTGAGTACACATCTTGAATATGCTAATATACTCAACTGCCGGATCAGATTTGAGCGGCACATGTTTACAAACTGCTATGGCCTGCTCCCAACTGCTAAAGATAACTAAAACACACCACAAACTCGTCATAAAGCTCCAACCCAAACATGGGCATCAGGACGTAAGCTAATATTGACATCTAAGCACATTATTCAACGTCATCATAAGACACGTGAAAAGATGTCTTGCAACCTGCCGACGCAGGATCTTCTGATCCGCAGCAGTCCCAGAACTTGGCTGCATAAGGGGGATCGTCGGGACCAAGCTCATAGTATCTGATCATATCATCAAAGCAAACTATCAAATATGCAATAACATGCGTATTAGCAAGAAGTTCACAAATAAATTTAAATTTTTAAATTTTTAAAAAGAAAAAGAATCAATCAGAGTGTCATGGCATTCTACGTGATCTTTCTTCCCTTTTGGTTCAAAACAAGGCTCACTTCCTGTCATTGCGAAAGCTTATAAATCAATAAAAATTACTGACATATGAACTCTGCATGGACAATAGAGTGTAGAACAAGTTACCATTCTATGCTATGATCAATAACCACTTCATGATCCAATGCACAATCTCTAGATCGCTGAAAAAGTTTTGACTACCTTTTCTGATCGTCGTGACGACGAGAGACAAAATAGGTAGGATGAAATCGACATGCTGAGCTTGAATTGGATACCACTGCAAAGCTTGCCTTACAGCGCTTACAAGTTTTGATCACTGATTCCGCTTCTGTCATGTCTGTTGAATGCGAAACAAGTATCAGAGCCAGTCATACACCTGAATCCTAAACAACCAGAACTGCATGAACAAACTGCCTAATATAAGAAAGATAGCGTATCCTTCTGAATCCAAAGGTCAGAGCAAGCGATTAGTCTCTCCAGAAATCGGAGATTTTACCAAGGATCATCCTTTGACCTTGAGAAATCACGCTTCTACTTCTTCGCATATTCAAGACAATCGCACGCAACTTGTTGCACCAGTTAGATACCGATTCGAATTCTCACTTACCTCAAATAATCCACAATAATGCCCATCATAAGAAGACCTAACTAAAGACTATCAAAAAAAGTTTACAAGGTTAGAAAATTAGGGCTGCAATCCCAAGTTTTAAATTTCCCATATAATAAACAAGTATCTAAAATTCTGTTCAGTCGCACTTAAACACTGGGTGGAACTCGAATTAGCAACATACCCTCATCCAAAAAAACTTCAACCTCTGGAAAAACAAGTCGCAATCGAGAAAATTCAATATCCAGATTCGACACAGACATATCCACTGAGGAAAAAGGATAGCGAGGTTGCAGAGTTCAAACGACACACATTTCCCTCTCGCAACATACAATCCTTGTCGAAAACAGAAGAAATGCGAAGACAATTCCGAAAACAGGCTGAGCACTCACCACCTTAGACTATCCTACATTCAATCGAGAAAACCTCCAGACACTTGGATAAAATTCGCAACAATCGAGACTCGATCAAAGCTTAGAAGAACTCAGAAGTGCATGTCTCTCAGGCAGGGTCTTCGGAGGTCATTCTCGTACATGGTTAATATCCGGTTAATGTTTTTGTTTATATCCGGAACTTTTAAACCCATGTCCCAATTGGTCACAGTCCAGTGATTTTCATCCCTCAACGCCTAGTTATCACCCTGCCCCCGCCACAGCCACCGTCCATGTCAATATCACAGTTTAAACCAACGTGTACTATCCAGGAATGCCGATACAATTTGATGTATAAGAATGAAGTTGATTGCGTGATAGAGAATGTAGCTCGACCAGTTGTGAAATGGTGCATTCGGTCGTTTCAAAATCTGCAATAATGCTGGAGTGTTGAGGAGATACCCTACCTCCATTTTTGGACTGCCCATTTTCGTTGTGAGCTGCTGCCACGAGGAGTGTGCATTTTGGCTGCTGGTCCACTGTCGTCGTCTCAATAGAAGTTATCCGTTGGATTATCTCCAGCAGCGCAGGTGGAGTTTCAACCCGCAGTGCAATTTTCACAGTGTGGTCATTAATGTCCTGAGACAATAGCTGATTTCGCGTTCGTTCAGTGAGCATTTTGGGCCATTAATTCCAGTCGGTTGGAGAGTTCATTCTTTTGAGCTTGTTTGAGGTGGCTACTGTGAGAAATACTTGTTTCTCAATACATGATTACTTTGCTTCATACTTGCTAATGAATATGTTAGTACATTGTCTAAGTAACTTGATTCTTGACGTTCAGAAGTTTTTTTGACCCCTGTAAATTATAAAACATTAAGAAGTGATGTTTGGAACAGATTTGATTCTGAAACTAGCGATTCCATTCACTTTAATTATTTCTGGCCTGAATTTGGACTGCGGATGCTCATGATCTGAACAGCAAGGTTTTTTCCAGCGGGTAAGGATGACCTTACTTCGGGTTGAAGCCACTCCTGCAGAGGCTACTCGGCAATGGAAGGAGGTTTCGGAAGCGGAGTCATTGCAGCTTGTAAGTACATTTTCAGTCTCAATTTTTCTATGACAATGGTGTGAATTGAGGAGGAATAAGGATTCGCATTCAGCCGAGAGAGGAGATTGAGACTAGAGCGTTTGATTCCTATCACATATGAACGTACTTCAACTTCATCGCAATGTTCAACAATACAACTTATACCACCTGTTCGAGTTTTTGCATGATGTTCAATTTCATGTCCACTACAAAAATTCTGATATGCTGTTTTTGTCCTATCACGAAGTATTATTCAGTCGAATGCTTAATGAGATTGTAAGACGCAGACGAGGAACCTCCTCCGGATTGCTGTATTCAATATTAGCTATATCAGGGGCCTGTTTCCTGATAGCTTTTTTCAGGACAAGTTTGTGCCTGCATTAGGTAAGCATAGTGGACATTTCAGCAGCCTCTGGAGTGTACAACCTTCGCAGTATTTCTTGGAACAGGCCGGTCGTACAGTGTCTGCCGAATTGTATCTTTTCTTTTTGGGAGTGATGAATGTTTACTTTGTCCATCGTTACCTGTGTGATTGTCTCACCGATTGTAACCTCGCAGCTTGCGAATTCTATGACATGCAATCAATTTTCTTCAAAAGTCGCTCTAAATCTGACGTTCGAAATGCTGTGACAGAGATGAACGTCAAGAAGTTGCAGCCAAAGGATATGGAATCGAAGAGATTCATCGAATGGATTGAGAAAGGTATAGTTCACTGGTGATGCAAATAGAGGCGCAACGTTGCAAGATATTCCAATTGATCAAATACGTGACATGGTCCATACTTAAAAGCTTATAATATACGTTTTAATTCGTAAAAGTCACCACAGTAATTTCGCAGTACAAATGGCATGACTGCGCAGGAGTTTTCGATGCCTTAAAAAAGAAGTATCTGAAGACGCTTTTCTTGACGATCTGTCGTGGACAAGATGGCCCACTGATTGAGGAATATATGTGTAAGGGATCACATATTTATGCGAAGCAAATTGCAGTCAGAGTGAATTTATACGTTGTTGAATGTTGTCATGTTGAGCATCGCAATGTCTTTGAGTACGATTCTTGACCGGAAACTATGGTTTCTACTTCATGGTTGACTTTTTCTTCCGAATAGAAGTTCTCACTGCTAGCTCTAGTGGTGATTTATCATGAAGTTATGTATTCCTTGTGCAGTTTCGTTTAAGTACTCTGCTAAAGGGCCGTCGGAGGATATCACCTCCATGACTATTGAGAGCGTAAGTGGCAAGCCTGTGCGCACTGACACAACTAATCAGACGACTCCCCAGCAGATGAAGTACGAATCTATGAAAACGTCACATATTCGCATTGTGGATGTATTTGAAATTGATTGTACTTCAATGCGTAAGACCAAACGCAAATTCAGGCACGCAAACACTACTTAGATTATCAAACCGGTTGATGGTGTTGCTGTCTGTCTGCAGGCAGTCCGCATGTAAGATGGTGCGCACACTTGTGCAGCTGATGCACACACTGGACCATGTCCCGAAAGAGGTATTTACAGAACATCCACATCTGATTGTTCTTTGTGCTGTTTAGAGATAAGAGAATTCAGTTATTTGTCTTGAATTGGAATTTTATCAGAAACATAGGTGAATGTGACCGTGCACGCTTAGCTTTCAAACTGCTATTCCTGTGAACAGAAACAGCAAAAAGCTTCAGGAAACTTTTTGGTTTCAGTGTGAATGATGGTGATGATGATGATGATATGGTGACGATAAGAATGATGATAACAATAACAACAATAATAGAAATAAGTTATCTGACTAAGCGCAATTTGATCCCTTCGGTGATTCATAAACCATCAGCGCACCATCATTATGAAGCTCCACTACTACGACGACGTAACAGTAAGATATCCGCCCCTGTTGGCTGGTGTAGCTGCTTAATAAGTGAAGAATCGTATTCATATTGTGGCTATTGCAGATTAAGGAAGGAATTTTAGATGAAGCACATTATTTCCATAGAAAAAAGTGTGTCTCTAAAGAACTAGTTCTTCAGTCCAAAGTAGTATGTTTCATTGCATGACCTAGTTTCAAGGTAAAAGAATGCTACATGATGAAATTTTTCAATTGAATGTCGTCGTAGAAAACTAGATTTGAAAATCATGGTTTATGCAGCCAGAAGATTACGAGCCTCCTTTTTTCTCATCTAGTACTTATGAAGACCCTAGTCCATGGGCCGGGGAGCCTTTGAAGATGAAGGTTGGTTATGTCGACAGCAGACATTACAAGCTCGCAATCAAGGTAAGCCTTATATAAGGAAATTGTTTCCTTTAGGAGGAATGACAACTTCACCTTGATTTCGAGCTTTAAGTTTCTCCTGAAAACACATCTGGTGCACAATGTACCATGTAACAGGTGAAGAGCGTGTTAGATCCTTGTGAAGATGAGAACGAGTTGGCCAAGAATGAGATGTGCTCTGGTACTGATGTAATGGTCACAAGTGATGATGATTCGTCAACCAGCTCTGGGGCCAATGATGATAATACAGAGCCCAGTCAGAAATCCCAGCCAAGAGGGGATGTTGCAATACAGGTATAGTCAATTTCAAATATTGGATGCCCCTAAGGTATTGCAAAATGTAATAATGTCAAGCCCGCAGAGAAGGCTATCGAGGCGATGGCAGAATCAAAATTTATTCTAATCAGTTCCAACATCTTAAAATCAGTTCTTGACAATGGTCCTTCGACATCTTTTTTGATCCCTTATGACAAAAAACTGACGCCACAATCGCGTCATTTGACAGAGTCCAGAAAACAAAGAGCAACTTGAGTCATTTGATGAAGGTGAGGAGTGCTCGATGCGCAGGATTGTTTAGGCTAATCTTGGAATTTGCTATTTGAATGCTGAAGATCACTGTCAAGCTTTTTTCTTTGAACTTTGTACCAGGATTTTTTCCTTTACATAATGTTTTAAACTTAATATGATACAGTCGTAACCCTCAGATCGAATTAGGAACTCCCAGTTGGGCGTCAATATATCTCGCAAATATAGTAGCTGAAGCCATATGCTGACTTGAAATGGACATGATTATTAACTAAGATGTTTCTGGCTCCAGAAACGTCTCTTGCGAACAAGTTTAAGAAAATGCGGACAACTGCTGCAGTTGCTCATATTAGTGACACTGGTAATGCAATCCAGTCTGATATGACCTTGTTTAGGGGATAAGTTAAATCAACTTTGACACAGAAAGTTATGATACAGCTGTTGCAGCATTTTAACTAGATAATGCAGATACTGCACTACTACTTGTAATCTCCTTCAAAGTTTCCACAATGATGATGTGGACGTAACCAGTGAAGTTCTTTTCTCAAGGCTCCTTTTTACGAACACATTCAATAGTTTATTGGGTCCTCATCACACACTTGGAGGACATAACCCTCAGTTTCTGCCTTGATGTGATTGGGCTTATTACAGATAGAACAGAAGATTCCGAGTTCGAGGCTGAGAGTTTGCGAAGCGTGAGAATTTACCTTCAGAATAGAGAAGATAAGACTGTCCACATGAACGACATTATGAAGGAGTTCCCTCAAATTTCAAAGGTACCTGTTTTCCTTGTTTTCAGCTGTTTCATCTGTTCCAGTACAGCTTCATAATAAACTTCAACGAGCATTCATAGTGAGACTGTTTTGTGTGGGTTTTAGTAATGTTCCAATATGTCATTGAGCTGTAAGTTCCTTCTAGACATGTTCCTTCAACCGAACTTCAAGTTCAGACGTGTGCGTATCTAGACGTTCAATTTTCTTGTTATTCCATGCACACATCGATTAAGTTAAGAGCGACTGACTTTATTAGTGATATTGTTTGGTGGTTCGGCAGGTTGTCATGGGAGGTGAGAACTTGCTAATTTCATCAGATTCGTCCTTAAAATAACTGTTTCTGTCCTTCATTTGCCGAAGATTTTCGGAGCTCGTACATCCAACCAAGCAGTTGCTGTCTTTCCGTGATAATTAACTTTGAGATGGTATATTAGAGCTTCTGGATCGCCTCGTTGAAGAAGAGGTGCTAATAAGGCTGAAAAAGGACCTATTCCGTGTGAAGAAAATTCAGGTTTGTGCTCACAGGATCTCTATGAAGAAAAGACTGAAAAAAAAGTTAAAGTGGATGCACGGTGTCAAAACTTGGGTGTAATCTTCCGATAGAAGATTTTGCTGTTGAGATTACGGTAGACGATTCATCATCGTTATGCCTCACACAAGGACACAGAAACTTGTAGGTTCATCTTGGATATGCTGGTCGGCGTGATGAATAAGCACGAAGTTACTTGCAGCTCCCATTGTCTGTTTTACCTTAAGTATGCTCATCCATCTTTTCTCCCTCAATTGAATCTTCGGAAGGTTAACGTATTGCTGTTGAACGTGAGTAGATTAATCCGAAAGAGCGCACGAAGTACTCGAACGAAACCCTGCAGCATAATGGAATAAACTGTAAGTCTCTTACCTCAAATGTCAAACCAAACAAAATACCCGTACCAACACAAAAGGCCAACGAATCATTGCCCGATGAACAGCAGGGCCTCTACGAAAAAGTAAGCTCTCAGTATGCTAATTTCTTGTCTTTTAATCCATGCATATTGTTGTAAATTGATGCATAGATTAGTAATCAAGAAACTCAATTTCCTACCAGACAGAAGTAGTTCGTGTAGTAATCAACAATGCCCATTGAAGATTTAAATGCTTAGTAACTTGCTTCGCGAGTAATGCAGGCCCTTCTTGTCACATTGCCGCGGGAATACATAGCAGTGGCGCAGCTTCAAGAGGCCTTTCAAGATCTTAGCCCTGGAAAAATTCGCCAACTAATATCTCGAATGTGGCTCGATGGTTACATAGAGAAAGTCCCTCACATAAGATGCAAAGGTAAGCGAATTCTAGTTCTGTTCGAGTGGCTCACTGCTCGATCAATTCTTCCCTTGTGAATGTGTTACTCTCAACTCGAATATCTTGTTACCTTCTTTTCCTCTTCACAGGCCTGCATTAGCTAATGTTGGCGACGTCTGCTACTGCATTTGATTGCCTCCCTTTCTGCCAGGTCGCCAGGTTTTTCACACCCCCGCAACAAACAAGAAACTTCACGAATTGCGTGTGTCATATTGTTCAAAGATGCAGAAGGACGAGCCTGGGGTAAGATCTATTTAACACTAGATACCGATTTCTTGAACAATATAAATCTACCGATCAAGCACCTCGATCAAGCATCAACATATGTCAATGACATAGATATTGAGAATGTGTGAAGGTTTTACTTTAAATTATCATGAACATAAACATTCTATTGAATGTTTATGTAATTCGATTCGAGCTCTGGAATGGTTCGTAAAACGTAATGATTCGACGGGTTGACCACTTTTGATTTACAACGGAACAGGATCAAATGGTTAAGTTTGCTGGACATTCGTTAGTAATCCGAAGAAAGTGTTTGGTCTTGTGGTTGTATTGTATTGGCAGAGAAAGAAATACGATAACATGGACGCATCGCAAGATTGGGGCGTTCTCATTCGCGGTAAGTTAGGCTCGGTCACTTCCATGAAAAAGAAAACTACATGGTTGATGGGTTTCAATAGCAATTTGAGTGCTCAAGTGCAGCCATTTTCGCGGGAGTTAAAAAACGCCGGATTACTTGGAAATAAATCACCAGCTGAAAACTCGAATGGTTTACGACCAAAGAAACTTCCAAATGTACTGGTCAATAGTAGAAACTTACAAAACGTACGGATTTAAAAAGAGTTGTCGGATAACCGTTGTTCAAGGCTCGAGATGTGGCAGAATGCAGAAGTCTAATATATCCGCTTGCGAAACGAGTGATAACAATGTGCATGTCTCCGCACAGAAAAAGCTCAATCCAGGACCCTAGACGAATTGGTGTGCGGTCGCACGCAAGCTCTTGGCTCCGATGATACTCGACAGGACCAGCCAGCTGTTAAAAAGCACACCAAAATGGCCCCAGCTTTCAAAGAACCAGCTCTGCCACAAAAGCCACTACGAGAACGAGCTAAAATTACACCATCAACTCTAGGAGCCAAGGGGAAAAGGATCAGAGTGCTCAATTCAGACTCACTTATGAATGTCAATAAGGACAGCCAAGGCGAGGTGGTAGACAGGGCAGGAAAAGCCAGCAAGGTATTGTCAAAGTAACTCAACCATATCACTCTCGTCTCGACCCCAAAAGCATTCCAGTACTGAGAGTCTAGAAACATTCGCGGTGCGAGAGTTTTACTGATTCCAAATGGACAAGCATGTCATGAGATTAAATAATCGAGAAAGTACAAATGTGTTCGTAAGTCTCATTAAAGGATTCTATTAATTGTTATACACATTGATTTCGCAGGTTGACGGACCGATTTATCAACCACCCTTCAAACGTGTTCGGACAGAATGACTTCTACCCCTAATTCGCACCCAGAAGACCGACGCTCTCGAAAACAACCCCTTCAAACAACTGTAAACCTCTCATCACTGGGGATCCTGTTCATGTTCTAGCTGACAACAACTGAACAATCCGTAAAAAATATCACCTCTGGGACAATTTACGACAAGAACCCCTACATGATCTACTATAAAAGTGAACATTATGTTCGATTAAACAGCTACATAAATCAGTCCTCCATGCGACACTTCTGAGCGGAGTGTAGGTCAACTAAAAGACCTGGCCATAGGAGTAGAACTAAACAGTCAAATGAAACCTGCAAATGCGCTAGAGACACGCCTGGCAGCGTCGATTCCCAATAAGCTTGTGCACGGCGGGCATGCTTTCATTCCTCTCAACGGCCTGCCTGAAACGTAACCGTGCATCTGAACGCTGCTAATGCTAGTTGATGGCATAAGTGTGTCAACAAATACATCATGTCATCGCCACCCAATAAAGAGTGTCACTTAACTCCCTCACCTTGAAATCCTAGACTATTTCAGCTTAATCCTTGGCTGTGTCAGAACAAGAGCCCACTCTTGAAGTGGAAATCAAGACTGACAAGCCCTTTCTTCGTCGTCGTCGTCGTCGTCATCAGATAGACCAGACTGTAATAAATAGTCCTCGCTGTCCATGTTCTCATGCTCCATGCCTAGTGAGAGGGGCACAGCCATACTTTCCAATGAAAAAGACTCGCCAGCATCCTTCGTCCCCTGCAATTCAGCCCCACAGATAGGATTCACATGATAGCCATATAGGAAGGAGCTTATGGTATTCCAACAATCACAATACAAACGTCGTCAACAGGACAAGGTCGGTGAAGAACTCTGCCTAAACCTTCCCTACCTTGTACAAAGTATAGAAAAAGTAATGGAAGTTGTCTCCGAATGTTTCATACTTCATGCTCCACGTCAACCCTTCGGCCTCGAAGAACGGTCTCCGGAAATGAGGTTGGCCAAAGGCGATGGTGATGAACACGCCCGTAGGGTTCAACACACGGTGCGCTTCCGCGAGCATTCCTCGCACTCGCTTTGCGACTTCGGGCTCTGGGCTCCATTGATCGTCACAGTCCACAAACAGTACATCCTACGCCAACAGGGTCAGAAATCAATCAAATCGTAGCAATGAGCCAATCTAATGTACCATGATAAAATAAAATAAACAAATAAAATGAAATGGGCGTCAGAAAACATGCGGTGTGCAGAGAGTAAGCTAGAAGAAGGAGAAGAAGAAGAAGAAGAAGACTGAGAAACTTGAGATTGGAATGGAACTAACCATGGCGCCTTTCTCAATGACGACATCGAAGCTCTCGTCGTCGAAAGGCAAGTTCAGCATGTCGGCTTCCGCAGCTACCATACCTGGCCATCAGCGTAATTGACGAGTGAGCTAGTCCGATGCAATAGAAATTCGGCGACAATTGGTTCACAAACGTGTAGGAGAATTTACAAGTGACGGAACTGGGACGGAGTTGGAGGACCTGGTAGATCGACGAACCGCTCCCGCATTCGCTCCACGGCCACTGTCGACAAATCCGTGCAGGTGATGTGCCGGATGCCATCTCTGTACATGTCCTCGCTCAGCCTCGACGAGCCTGCACCGACCTCCAGCACCTGTGGCCATTCCTCGCACGACGACCAAAAAACCATGAACTCTCTCAACCTCTCGAATTTCCCCCGTTCAGGAGGAATGAAAGACAAAATTGAAAGTCGCAGGACGGCAGAGAGGATGGATTTTAGGCATACCCTGTCGGTCGGTTTGATGTGCTTCAACACAAGATGTCGAAAATGCGAGTAGTTCTTGAACCATTCGTAGTGCTGTTCACCTTGGAAGCGTTCGTCCCTGACATCCATGACGGCACCCGTCTCAGAGGATCACTAGAGCGTTTGATTTCGAAACCATGGGAACCAATTCATCTACATTTTGAAGACACGGGTGACCTCAACGCTACACGACCAGATGTTCAATGTCATGAAATGGAGAATACTTGACTTGGGAAAGGCATCCGTTGTCGAACACAATGCAAGCAAAGCGATGTGCAATGCACTGCACGGCGGGGGTTTGTAAGAGAGGTAGACTCACCAGTAGGATGGGCGGAGGTAATGCAATTTGTTAGGCGGGGGATCCTGACGTTCTGGTGGGGATCGCTGTTGAGCCTGGATGTCGCCGCTGCTCGCCGTGTCGGCCGCCATAGCCAGACTCCGCAGCAATCCTCTGCGACAAGCCTTGCGAGTCGCCGAAAATCCCTGCAACCCTCACAAAAGCCTCATATTCCACCCATAAACTCTAAACCCTAAACTCCAGCACTCTCAAATGCCATGAAAGTTTGTGGCTCAATTTATGAGAAAATACTGGCTGTTACTAATTGGGGTTTTTTTGATTGACTGCTTTTCAATGTTCTGAATCTCAAATACAGCATAAGCGTTCTTTTTTCTTTTTTTTTTTTTTTTTTCTTTACGAAGCTTGGATCTCTTCACCTGAAAAATGAAATGGAGAACATGACCGTGGTCAATATTAATCTATAGCAATGACCTATGATTGATTTGTTGTTAGTTAATATACAAGAATACATATATGTTTAAGTTTTACGTATATGGGTGTGGATAAATGTTTAGCTTGTCTTGAAACCTAATTTTAACAATTATCAAGTCATATGTAAACAACATTTGTATTATAACAATATGAATTATTGTACTTCAGCTTCAAGTTTATTCAAATTTGATATTCAGAGACAAATTTTGTTGCAATTGTACACATTCGGCATAGATTATCCTAGTTTTCATTTGTTTCAAAATTTGTATTATCTTGATTCATTCCACACAAACTTTTATAAAGTTTACATCCGACTGTTTGCATTTGAATGATGACTTGGAATCTGATGTGGAATGATGACTTTGGACTCTGACGTGGAATGATGACTTTGGACTCTGACGTGGAATGATGACGTGGAGCAGTGAGGACTGGACCCAGGAAGCTTCATTATCCGTTGTCCACATTCAATGCACATGGTTTTATAGGACGTCATTATTTCACATTGTGTGATGATTAGGACTAGAAAAAAGAAAAATAGGAAATGTATAAAAAGTATTTAAAATGTATAAAATGTACCCATAAACTGTATTTGAAAATAAACAAATTATGTGGTTATAGAAATAACTGAATTGCTGATGATCAAAGTAATATTAAGTATTCTTGCTTATGGTGGTGGAAAGGCTATTATTTTTAAATATGTTTGTGTATGTGTGTATATGAGCGTATCTACATATATACAATTTAATTGAATAAAAAAAAATTAAGATTTTTAGTGAATGGATAAAATCAGTAAAAAAAAATTACTTTTTTCACATGTAGATTAAATTAGTGTATTGAAATCTAAATTTTTAAGTTGAAACAGTGAAGCAAAAGAGGGGGCAATGGTTCTATTTGTCATGTAATATCATGTATTACTAATTAGAAACTGAATTTTACAAAAGAAAAGGTAAAATAAATTACTCTATGAATTGTAAAAGTATGAATACGTGTAGATACTTTTGGATGTTTTTTAAAAAAATTTAAGTTGTTGTCAGAAGTTTAAATGTAGGACGTTTCTATTCCTATTATGATGCATCATTTTGAGAGTTTGTAATTTTGAAAACGAATTTGAGTAAAGTACGCAATCTTAAGATTTTAAAATGATCATATCTTATAAATGAAAACTGGTGACAAACATTTCATTGGTAATTACACGTAGACAACTTTTTAAATCCAATTTTGATGTTTCTGTGATGGTTACCAAAAAAAATATTTCTTGAGTGCAGAAAATAAATTCTTTAGAAAGTTACAACCCAGAAAGTCATTTTCAAAAAATTATCAATTTTATTTTAGTCTCATCAATTTGAAATTAGACACGCAAGTGTATGTATGTGTGTGTGTGAAATACTTTAAAAATAAACATACAGATGTTGATATATATATATATATATATATATGCATAAAAGTATATGCTGCTGAATGTAGACCATTGAAATGTAGACCAATAGACATATTGCTTGGTTGCAAAGATTCATATTAACACATATAAATATGCATAACAAAATTTCAACACAATTTGCGTATCAGAACATCATTTACAGAAATATTATAATAGAATTATGCAATCAAATGGCAACAAACTCAAGCAATGAGAAATTTTTATTTGACTATACTCAAGTTACAAAAAGAAAGAAAGAAAAGCTAACCCCTAATTACAATAAGTAAGAAAAAATAATTATTTAGTGTAGGATATTATAATATTTATAAATACTATGTAAATACATATATTTATTTTTTTTGTGATTAAGAGTTTATAAAACTTGTATTGGAAACAAATTCTTTTGAAGGATGAAAATAAATATATCTATAATAACTATAATAAAGACCCGAATATTCTTTAATTGGCTTGTTTTGATTTAACACTTAGAGACAGTCAAATAAAATGATTTGCTTTTGATACTTATGTTGTGTATGTGAAACTTATCTATTGATTACATTATTCTGTTTGTAGTCATTGTCTATTAACATATTAGTATTGGTTCATTTCAGTATTTGTTCAGCAATTAGAAATTCATTCATTTATTTTTAAAATATTATTAATGCCTTTAGTGTTTTTTCTTTTTTTTGTGTGTGTGTGTGTGTGCGTTTTCTTTTGTTCTAATTATTCTATCGTAAGAAAGATATTCACAAGAAATATGGACAATGAATTAGGCAATGGTGATGTTGCATCATTTTACAAATAAACCAAATTTGCTAACATTTGGTGAAACAACTAAAATAAAAAAATATTTCCAAGTACCATTTCTTTAGTTTGATGCTTGAATCTGTTAAACAAACACGCATGGAACAGACACCCTCCACAAGACAATTACATACTGACAACCCTATTTCCAACAACATGCATAGAACACTCTAATATTAAAAAACAAAACCAAATCTCACAAACCCCACAACGTCAATAAAACTGTAGCACCTATCACGGTGTCGAAGTTTCTACTAAATATTATGTCGAAAGTCGTCGACATCCGTGTGTGGAATGCTGCAAACTGATCAGATCGGTACACACAGGAGACAATTCGGGTCCTCTGGGACATACCAGCGGACGATTGGCAACACTACCTAGTCGAGGAAACTAGGAATTCCTCACTGTATCGAAGCCATTTGCTGCAATGACGCAGCGATGACCATGGGGCCAGATCGGTAGGCACATGCGGTGACCTGGTGACGCTACTGCAGGTTTCAGTAGTTGTTTATCCACAGTCTGCGTCAGATCCATGGGGTGCATCTTGACTATTGAATCTCTCCAGCGACAGACCTTCTAGAATGATACTATTCGTAGAGGGAGAGGCTGCACGTGATTCGTTGCAAGTTGGTTTCCAGTACTCCTTTTCCTGGTGGTTCAGGTCGGACAGCATCGCAGATTCCTTTATATAAAGTCGTTAATTACGACGCCAATCGACGTGAGGATTCTTTGAAGCTTCTGGCCCACCTTCTTCGTTACTTTCTTTGCCACCGCATTGGGAATGTGCAAATTGCCGAGGTAAATTTGGCCTGTCGAGGAGGGATTCCTGGATGGCTTACAAACTGGATGTGCCTTCACTGACGGTTTCCTGTGGTGGATGAGCTTCTTCGGGGGGGTAATGATGGATGTCTGGAGTTGGATAGGGATGTTCAGCTGATGACATGATCGACTTTAAAACATAAACCTGGAAACCGAGAACCTAAACTTCACAATGATAATCCCTGATTCCCAGAACTCAAAAAAAATAAAAAAAGAAAAAAGAAAAAGAGTCGTGGATAGAAAGACAAGCACGAAGTCTACACCCATATTGAAGAGTTGGTGACATGCAGATGGGAGTTGATCCATGATTCATATTACCATTCAGTTACACCTTCACCATCAATATACAACTACTTTTTGATGCCAAGATCTTTCGCGATTTATGATCAAATTGGGGCCGTGTCACCATCCACCACCGTTGTCGACATCCAAAGTTGGACCAGGTAGACTTTGGTCTATCTTTGAGATGTCCCCATCCAGAGTTGATAGACCGTGCCTGCGAGACCCCATCCATCCACAAACGTGCATCCACAACAAGTTCATTCAGATTCGCTACAGTGCATGGGCAAGAGGGTAGTGCTATTCTTATTTACAGCGCTGGGAAATCGCAGTCCGTTGGATCTACCGCCAAGAGTTTAGATGTTGCGCAGTGCATATCCTGGAATCAAAAGCAGCTCCTGGATCCCTTCCCCCACTGTATCGATGACGCTAGCTCGTATCCGACAACTCCGTAAGTCATTCAAGTATCTGCAGACTGAATCAATAGTCGCTCGGACACAGAACCGTGAATCTTCTCGCAGTCCTACAGTCGCGCGTGCTTCGAACGACTAGACGCACACTTCGTCACGCTGCGACACAGCTCCCTCCAGGTCCCTCTTGCTGCACTCTGTTTATCTCGGTTCATGGCAAATCCTCGTGGTGTTGTCGAGACAGGTGCAGGTTCATGCCTTCTGATCAGTGACTCGGGGGTCGTTGGAAGGTTGTAGCTCTTGCTAGGGACACGCGTAAACTTAGCGTATTTTTCAACCAGGTCTATCAACTTTGGATGTCGACAACTGGATGCCCGGCGCTGGATGAGAGACTTACCAAGCTGTAGATCTGAAGGCTTGTTTGGGAGATCCATGAATTGTTTCTGCTGTTTTGTTGGACCTTCAGGTAGTTCACTTTGAGAAAATGCGCCAATACCGACACAGCCGCTGCGGAGGGATTGTTTTGAGCAGTTTCTCGGGGAGACGAGCGTTTGAAGATTAATGCTGCGTTCTTCGGGGTCGTATGGTTTTTTCGGCCCATTTGTTGTATGATGTGAAGTCTACGCTTAAAGGTCTCACGCTGTAGAAATTCATGTGCTGGAAGCTACCACTCAATTCATCTTCTTCCGCAAATAGCCGCGAGGGAGGAGTCTTCACGGCTGATAAACACTTTCTCCATCGCTCAAGAAACGCTGTAGTTTGTATTTTATTCCATTTTCTCTGAAAGTTTTAGGCCCTAGGAGTCTGATTGTTTAACGACCTGTACCAAGTATTGCATTTGGTGGGTTAGTATCTGCATAGTTTTTACCCCTATCCTCTTTCTATTAGTTGAGCTATGCATGGTCATTCAGAATTTCAGTGTACATCTAGCTGCCTGCGATTCGTCTGTGAGTTGATATTGAAACATGCAACCCTTTCGTCTGAAGCCGTGTTTCCATCCTCGTTCTGACCATATGTACACGATTTCTAGTGCTGAAAATTGCTTAACTTGTTCGATGCCAATACCGTAATACATTGTAACTGAGACAACTAATGTTACTCTGCAGGTCGTATTTATGACGTAACAGAGGCTCCAGTGATGCTGTCACCGTTGTGCACCGATGCAGCAAAGGTCATGTTCTGCTTGAAAGTTAAATAGGAGGTCGTGGAAAATGTGGCGAAATGAGCTGATGACCTAGCATTCTCGAATTCCCCGTTAGACACAGAATCAAAGTTGATGGTTAATGCTTCAGAATTAGACCCACTGAGTTCAGGCCTTCAGATAACGCAATCCGAAAAGTGTCTTGAAGAGTACTTTCACTTTCACACCATTGAAGTGGGAAAACACTTCACTCTCATAGTGCTCGAAGATATGAGTGTAACCCCCACACGTGTCAGATGAAGAACGCCGAAGCGAAATGGGGTGGGAGTTTAGTCAGGTGGTTCAGGGAATCTCCGCATCGAAGACCGTTCAAGTTTATTAGCTCCAGGACATTCCAGCATCCACGAAAGAATTTTGGGAGAAATGATTTTGACGACGTTGAGGATCAAAAGCTCCTCGGCTTCGACAGTTGTGGTTACTTTTTCGAACAGAGGCGACGCAGCCCTGGAAGATCTAAGGTGGGATCGAAAGGATTCCGTCCAGTGTCTTACAATCCTGTTGTGGCAGTCCTCATCTTTACAGTCGCATGGATTTACTTGTATATGGAGTCTCTCATCGGGGGCGACTTACAAGCAGTTATTCACAATCTAGGCTGGATGGCCGTTACGTTTTTTTCAGGTATCTTATGTTTTCTTTGCGCAATCTACGTCACCATTTTCGATCCCAATATCCCTGGACGATTACGTGCTGTCCTCCTAGCCTTACTCCTTACCTCATTGAACCTTCTGCTCTTTCTGGACCATGGCGGCAGTCTCAGACACCATGGCGCATACAACATGCTCATGTTCGCTATCTTTGTCGTCCCAACGCTCCTCATTGCCGCTGTTGAATATGGTTTCTTGCGCATCGTAGGGATCAGGGTCCTTGTTGCAGTGCACATCCCTTTATTGATTTTTGGAATTACAGCAGCCACAGGGGCTCTCCGGGATGGTATTGAAGTTTGGGATAAAGGGTTTCGCGGTGAGCGCATGTTGTCTTTCCAAAACCACAATGTCTGCACGCCGGTGGATCGTGGATTGCCGTGGGTGGACATGTTTCCGGAAGGTTATCAAAACTTTGGAGCAAGTACTTTCACTTGTGGAGATTTAGAGATGGATGCAAAAGCTGTTGGCTTCTCAGTGAATTTCAGCATGGATGGAGCTCTTACCGCGAGTTGCAACACTGGTAATCGCATGACTTACACTCCTCTTCCTTCCACAGTGGACTGGCCTAAGGGTGACAAGCTCGTGGAGGAAACTTACGAAGGGTTACTTGCCCGACCTTTCAACAAAAACGTGATGGACAAGGTGCGAGAGGCAGGAGAAATTCCATATGAAGCTCAATCCTCGATTTATCTTCCGGAAGAAATTGAAGCTGTTATCGTTCGTTGCGGTGGTGTTGAGAAGCTCGTAACGCGAGTTCGTCCAAGTTCTGAAATCTTGAAACGAACTGCTTCTCAAGCTGATCAATTCTCCCCATCTAAGAATGAGAAGAAATTGAACGTTGTCTTTTTATTTTTAGATGCCACGAGCCGTCGTGGATTCCACAGACGACTTCGCCGCACAGTAGCAGCACTTGAGGAAGCCGATGCAAGAGGCGATACTCGTCTGTACCAATTCTTCCGTTATAGTGTCGTGGAATTCTGCACTGAGCCAAATTCCAGAGCTATGTTCCAGAATGCTATCAAACCACACAAAGAGATCGTCCCACCTGTTTGGGATGACTACAGGAACTCTGGCTACGTCACCCTCTTCACTGCGGACACATGCCAGGACTTAGCCGCAGCATACATGAACCGCCAGTCGCCTCGTAACACCTCTTCTTTCGATCATGAGCTGATATCACCTTTTTGTCACTCAGATTACTTTGCAGAGGATGCTAATCCGTTTGGAAACTTCAAAGGGCCATATTCAATATGTGCTCGATGTCTCAAGGGGGAGCAAGTGCACGAACACGAGCTCCGTTATCTGCAGTCTTTCCGCACCGCGTACCCTGACACACCAAAATTCTCCTTAGCCTGGTTTCTCGAAGGGCACGAAGGCACCACTGAAGTGCTGCGAAACCTGGATGACGGGCTCGCTGCGTATGTAGGGAACTTCACAGCACAGGATTGGAATAGCACTGCTGTGATCATCGCTGCCGATCATGGCCTGCACATGGGGTTAAACTTTGCCATGTCGCAAAACGGAGCTGTGGAGCACAAGAACCCCTTCATGGCCATGATGCTTCCGCCATGGTTTACAGATCGTCACAACAGGAATGAAATACTGAGTGCCAATCAGCAGAAAATGGTGACTGCGCTAGACATATACAAAACGTTGCAAGCCTTACGAATGGCGGGGCTGAGCGAGGAACAGCGACGACAATGGGTGGATCCAGCGAGCGAGTATCGCTTGCATAATGTTAGCATCGATTTATTGCACCATGAAGTTCCAGAGAGCAGAAGTTGTGAGGATGCTGGCATTTCATCAGACTGGTGTCAGTGTCTTTGATTGCCTCCAACAAATACGACAAATCTGCCCCTTCGTCGAACTGACTCACATGCATTGGGATAGTCGACTATAGAGTTGGTTCAAACTTCGAAGCGAAGATCCCCATCCAGACCACGACTCACACGGAATGAGGTAGAATCATTCACAGCTTCGTCGAGGCACCCATAATGACAAGCTTTTTCAAGCAGAACGGCAATTTTGCGGCAATTGGTCATCAGTCAGCTACTTCGTATCACCAATGTAAGGTCAACTGGAAGTTAAATGTGATCTGTGCAGCCCAATTGAACACTAAATAGTGTCGAAGTACTTTCACTGATGAAAAGGAAGGCAATTCAGCCTCTTGTACTAGAGGAAAACCATGGAGAAGACTTTGTGTCCAGGTTCATATATTCATTGGTTGCTGGTAGGTCCTCGTCGATCACGTATGCTGACACCGATCATGCTGGATATTTTTGAATCCTGTGGACTTTTAACGCCCTTCAGTGAAGATTTTTCAGTGTGTGGAATTGAAGATTCTTTCGTACTCTGCACTGCAATCTCCCATGATGGGTTAGTGGAAATCTAGCCCTCTTCCAGATAACAAATCTTGTGGTAAATGCATTGTCAGGATAGTAGTCAATGCTTTGTCAAGTTTTTAGCCGTTTCCTGGTTCATGGGCTTTTAGTCAGAACAATTCAACAAAAAATGCCTTGGAATGCACATCAAGAGAGTGCCATCTAGAATGATAAAATAGCAATTGTTTATGCTTTTCTGTGCTCTTAAAGCAATGTAGCCATGTGTTTGCTGACTGTACTAATGAGTTCATAGTGGAAATCTTGAGTTGAACAGAGGTCTTAAGTGAAATAGCCGATGTTTTGAGTTGCAAAGAAAATTCTAGTCACTCAGAAGAAGATACATTTATTGTTTCTTTGCTTTAAATAAGAATAAGCGGCAGCATAAAGGCCTTCATTACAAAGTTGATATTTTAAATTTTAATAGAAATTTGGGTTAAAATGACAATCTACATAGTAGATGTTGGAGTTTGTTCTAGCTTTCAAACCTTATACTTTTTTGAATAAAAATTGAAATTCGAAGTTTGTGACATTTGAACAATAATGAAACTTGGGATTCTTACTTAAAACTATACTCAATACATGATTTTCTTTTAGAAACAATTGTACAAGAAATTTAGAAGAAATAACCAAATTTGTAAATGCTTTTTTTAAAAAATAAATTATTTTGTATCTACAATTTCTATAATATATTTATCTTTAGTAGGGAAGATAACAATTATTGGCTGATTTTGAATTTATTACAAAACTGAAAAGGAAAATTAAGATAAAAGAGTTAATCTATAATGTGTTGTTATGTTTCAATGCCATTAATTCAATTGATGTCACGTTAACCACATAAAAATTAAAATTGATATGGACTAAGTTATTATTATTATAGACAAGGCCACATTCTAATATTTCAAAAAAAAATACTCTAAGATTCTTTGAATTCCAAGCTAATCTAATGAAAAAAGTTTAAATGTAAATTTAGTCTGACAATTGCAAGTGACCATGCATTGTAGGATTTGAATTTTTTTTTAAAGTAATTTCAAACTATTTGTAAAAATTAAATTATAGTAAAATTTTAATAATATTAAGATCTGTTTTCATTCAACCATAGTTTCAAATTGCACTACTTAATTTGATAAGCTTTATATTACAAATATGCAATACAATATAGCAACCAAATATTTAGAGATAGCTTAGGTTAGCTTTTAGCCCTACCTTTAATTCAAAAATAGTTTTATATTTAATATAAATTGTATGAATAATTTTAAAGGCAGTGTGTATTATATATGGCTTTAGTTCAAATGACATTACAATTTTTGGCTATTTATTACAAGCTACAACTAAAATCTATCAAAATCCTAAGTCTATACATAAAAAAAATAATTTAGGACTAAATGGTGAAAATTAAAAAATTAGCATTTAAAGCAATGTTTTTTGAAAAAATTATTTTTATTTTTTGACAAATAAAGAAATATGATTTTTTTTATTTGTATAATTTTTAATAAAACCCCTATTTCATATAAATTATAACATAACCTTCTGTTTATTATATATATATATATATATATATATATATATATATATATAAACAAGAATTACCAAAATAACTATTTTAAAATGATACTTTTTGATACTATATAAAAATATTTTTAATATTTTTATTATTTTTTGTTCTAAAATTTGTGGCCCCAAAATTACTTATGATGGCATTTGGAATATACATCTTTTATATATAGAAAAATGAATTTTACAAAAAATAGTATAATGATTATATATATATATAAATATATATATATATATATATATAAAGATTAGAAAATAAGTTTAATTATAAAATCTTTCTAATTACATGAATAAATAATAACAACAATACTTTTATCACTTGTGGTAAATTAAGGAATTGATATAAGATAATTAGCTTAAAGGCATATAAATTAATTATATTTTGTATAGTGTTTTCAATTTGGATGGATAGAAAATAAAAATAAAAAATAAAAAATGATGAATTTTCAAGAGATATTATAAAATAGAACAAAGATTCTTGGTAAAACTAGTTTGTGATAACAAAATTAGGACTTTAACTTTATTTATATACTTTTAATGCCAAATTCAAATACAAGGAGACTAAAATAAAAATTAGAGTTTTAATAGCAGTAAAAATATAATGTGATTACTTATTTGTATACTTTTTTTTGTTTAAAAATATCAATTTTAGTAACTATATTTTCTTTTTGATTTTTTTGATTTCTTTATGTTATTATTATTTTGTCATGTGAATTGTAATGCATCGTAGAATTATATTTTTAATAACAAGTTAAAATTATAATAGAAGCAAGTTAATAAGATATTTTTTAAATTTATATTCATATTTATATGTATGTATATATATATGTATACACATTTATATGTATATATATATATGTATGTATGTATATATATATATACACACACACACACATTTATAATAATCTATTTCTTAGTTATTATTTTAAATAAATAAATAAATAAATAAATACCAAATTTAATGTATCAAATTTAACTACCTTAAATAATAATTAATAAATTTTATGAATTAAATAAATTAATAAATTTATTTATTATTGATATAAGTTTAAGTAAATACATATAAATATAAGTAAATATAAGTTAGCATAAGTGAGTAGAAAATCTTAGCTAGATAATATCTTACAAACTTCAAGAAAGTTTGCTAATCACAAATTAGATCATTAGATTCTTATAGATATGTTATACAACTATTAAAAATAGTAGCTATTAAAGCCATATTGGAAGCAATTTACAATTTGATAGTTGGGCCATAAATCTTGTGGTCTTTAAAAAGCTTCTATAAGACCTTTTAGATAGCTAATATCTACAGAGATAAGAGTCAATATTATCAATGCCTTTCTTATATTCTAATCTTAGTTTAGTACTTTCTAGCTTCATTTAGAAGAAATAAAAATATCATAGTACAAATGCAAAATTAAATGAGAGATTTGGTACTTGTCATGCATCAATTTTGTTAATAATATTAATTAATATTGATAGTAGTTAATTATGTAGACATAGAGATAACAAGATTTTTTTTTAAAGAATTTCACCATCTTAAATAACTTATTTAAGCATGTTAGATAAAAACCAAAAGTTTTTCTTCTAAAAAAAACTTTAATAGTAGTAAATATAAGGTTTGAGGATTTATCAACCATGTAAAACTTTTTATTCAACTTTAATCTTTAGTTATCCAACTCAAGCATCTCGAGTCAAATTTATTAAATTTATCTAGTCTTTCTTGATTATTATTATTTTTAAAGTAATAAGATTTTATATGAAAAACCCTATATGTATTTTTGGTAAATAATTTTTATCTATGTATTGAAAACATGATGCAACTAATACATCAATTAACAAAATCTAAATTTTGTGATAAGAAAATAAATTTGTATTAACATATGCATCATATTTATGATAATAAGAAATTCATAATTAGTAAGACAATGTTGCATCTAATAGTAGATTTTTTAAGAGGCATAACATGATGTAAAGAATTATTACTTAATATCCTATATTTTCAAAGTTTTAGTTAATATATTAATTTTTCTATCAAATACAACAATCCACTTTTTGAATTTCAATGAAAAAGCCATTTTTTAATATCTAATTTTTTTTGTACTTTTGCTACAAATACTTGTGTCAATCTAGATATACAATTAAATACAACATATATGCAAAAAAATTCTATTATTTTAAATTCCTTACAACAAAAGAAAAAAATGATGCTAACATGAAATACAATTTTTTTAAATAGACAATATGTTAAAAATTAAATTTTTCTAGAAACACTAAGGTCTATGTTGCTTGATTCTAGTATCAAATTATTTTATAAAAGCCATTTATCATCTATTAATTTTAATTTTAATTTTTAATATCATTTTTTTAATATCTTAAAATCCTACTATTTCTACCTTTGATTGTTAAATTTTGGTGCCTTCACTTATTTTCATTAAAAAATGTTTGTCATGTATCTCATGATATTATTAGTAAAAAAATAAAATTTATACATTTATAGAAGTCATAGATGGAAAATCTTTTTCTTCAAGGTATATTATCTATGAAGTAAAAATCTATAATAATAGAACTAATTGTAAAAGTTTTTTAAAAAAATCAGTTGTATTTAATATTGTAAAATCCCAACCAATCTTATTATTTTAGAATGATTGTAGTTTATATAACATAATCTTATAATAGATTGGATATCTTATATTCTTAAAATGTTATTATTGTATCTTGACTCAACTTCCATTTTTTTTTGTTTATATATATATATATATATATATATATATATATATATATATACTAAAAATTTAAAAATAAAACCTCTACTAATAAGAGCTAAGGCATTTATATAAGCCACATAAAGAAGATGTTTGTTTATCATTTATGTTATACTAAGTATTTATTCAATTAGAGGTTGCAATAAAATTCCATAGAAATATAAAAAAATATAAAGATATATTTAAGACGAATAATGCTAATATATTGCCAAAATACCAAACTTATGATTAATCAATCAATCTTCAAGAAAAAGCTCAACCATTATATGGACCAATTTATAAATTTTTACAAAATTAACTTATTATTTTGAAGAAATATATTGAAAAAAATCTTGCAAAGAAATTTACTTGAAATTTAAGAATTCTTGCAAGTACTCCAATTTTTTTTTCTAAAGAAAAAAATAGAATCTCTTAAATTTTTATGAATTATTGTAGATTCAACAAATTGACCATGAAGATATGTTATCCTTTGTCTTATATATCAAGACTTTTTGATCAATTTAATAAAGTTAAATTCATAATAAGATGAATCTATAAAGAGTCTTGAATTTGGTGCATATTAAAAAAGGTGATAAATATAAGACAATATCTTAAAATAGATATAGCTATTTCAAATATAATATCATATATTTAGACTTATAAGTCCTCTATTTTTTCCTAGCATTTGATAAATGATAGATTTTTTTAAATGCATTTGATAAATGATATATAATATAAATACATTTAAATTTTCTATCATTTATGAAGAATTTCACTCAAGTCATTATTGTACTTATATAATTAATATGCAAAGATAATACATGATTTGGTTAAGATTTAGTTAAAATTTGGTTTAAAATTTGGATATAGTTGATTAAATTTTGTTTAAGATTTGATTAGTATTTAATAAGAATTTACTTAAAAAATTAATAAGATTTAAATAGGATTTGAGTAAGATTTACTAGGATTTAATTTGTGTGTATTTAAGAAATTTTAGAACTTGTTGTGGACCTTGTTTATTTTTTTTTTATGATTATATGAGATGTAATTTAAAATTAATAGAAATAAAAGTCATTTGACTTTAGAATTCTAAGAGAGTCACATTTGGCAAGACAAGTATTTCTAAACACTTCATGCATTTCTTTTTTATTACAAGAACTTCAAGATTAATTAAAATCCTTCGACAATTAGATGCCTAATGCATTCTTATGTTGAGTTTAACATAAC